GGCCTCCCCCTCTCTCCCTATTTATTTCAGAACCCCCTTCCCCTCCCCCATTTCTGTAGAAGGGTCTAGGCCTGAAACGTCAGCTTTCCTGCTCCTATGATGCTGCTTGGCCTGCTGTGTTCATCCAGCTCTACACCTTGTTATCTCAGATTCTCCAGCATCTGCAGTTCCTACTATTTCTGATACAGTAAGAAGATATAATCACTCTTAATCCTGAGTTTTTCTGACCTTGCAACCTTACGTTTATGTATGATATTTGAGCTTATATTGATACAATGGGCAATATTAATTAGATTTTAAGAATGTACAAACAACTACTGACCCATTAGCCACTAACTAGTGCATGTTAAGCTCCTCTTTTACTCCACATACAGTATCACAATGCATTATTGACTTTTGTGGGAAAACTCAGAACCAATAACAAGGCTTCGGTTTGTCCTTTTCCCATCTACGCCATGCTCAAAACCTATTCCATTTTTAGCTTTTTGCCTCGTCTGATAAAAGGTGATAAAACTGAAATGTTGACTCTGTACCTTTTTCACAATTGCTGCCAAATCTGTTGAGTATTTCTGGCATATTCTGAATTTATAAAGGTTCACAAACTGATTTGAGTATTTTGAGGTTGTGACTAAGTGGACAGGGGACGGAATGATCATGAATGTTACTTACATGTTGTTCCAGAAGACAATAGATAAGTTCCTTCTAGTAGACTGTAAATTAGAATTGAAGTTTTGTGGGGTAAGTCAAAGACCAGGTTAAGAAAGCAACTGAGTGCCTGAAGACAAGAAAGAATAATTGGCAGAAACAGATATGGTAATTGTCAGGATGTAATTAGACTGTCCCTCAATGATCTCTGTTGTGGCCTCAGCTATTCTCTGTATTTGTCAATGATTAAGTATTGGGATAGGAAAACAACTAATCCAAATTTGCTTTAGCACAAAGATAGAGACCATTTCCAATGCTATCTCTTCTTTATGAGTTGATGCAAAGGTGCCAGGATGGAGGCCAGGTTATTTTTGAACTTTCCATAATAATTCACCAGCCCAGGGAAGGACCTAAGCTCCGATACAGACATGGGAGCTGGGGCACCTTTGAAAGCACATGCAATGTGCCTCAATGACTATTGCCCAGTGGCTCTGAACATCACAATCATGAAATGCTTTGAGAGGCTGGTCATAGCCCACATCAACTCGATCGCCCCAGCCTGCCTCGAGCCCCTGCAATTTGCCTACCTAAGTACAGGTTCACAGCGGACACCATTTCCCTCGACCTGCACTCATCCCTGGAACATCTGGACAACAAGGACACCTATGTCAGACTCCTGCTCATCGACTACAGTTCCATCTTCAACACCATAATTCCCTCCAGACCGATCTCAAAACTTCAAGACCTAGATCAAAGCTCAACCCTCTGCAACTAGAACGTCAGCTTCCTGACCCATAGACTGCATTCAGTACAGATAAACAACTGCACCTCCTCTACGATAGTGCTCAACACTGGAGCCCCTAAGGATGCGTTCTCAGTCGCCACTGTACTCCCTGTATACCCACAACTGTGAAGCCAAATTCCAAATGAATGCCGTCTACAAGTTTGCTGACGACACCACCGTGGTAGGACAGATATCAAACAACGATGAGTCGGAATATAGAAACGACATAGAGAGCTTGGTGTCATGGTGCAATAATAACAATCTCTCTCTTACTGACGGCAAAACAAAAGAACTGATCATTGACTTCTGAAAGAAGGGAGGAGAACACACCTCCAAACATCAATGGAGCGGAGTTTGAGAGGGTTAAGAGTGTTAAGTTCCTAAGAGTGATGATAACTGACAACCTGTCCTGGACTTGCCACGTAGATGCAACAGACAAGAGGCACAACAATGCCTCTTCTTTCTCAGGCGGCTTAGGAAATTCAGCATGTCCATAAGGACCCTCACCAACTTTTACAGATGCACCACAAAAAGTATACTATCTGGTTATATAACTGCCTAGTACAGCAACTGGTCTGCCTCGGTTGGGCGGCATGGTGGCTCTGTGGTTAGCACTGCTGCCCCACAGCACCAGAGACCCGTGTTCAATTCTACCCTCGGGTGACTATTTGTGTGGAGTTTGCACATTCTCCCTGTGTCTGTGTGGGTTTCCTCTGGGTGCTCTGATTTCGTCTTACAGTCCAAAGATGTGCTGGCTAGGTGGATTGGCCATGCTAAATTGCCCGTAGTGTTCAGGGTCTGGGTGGGATGCTTTAAGGGTCGGTGTGGACTTGTTGGGCCGAAGGGCCTGTTTCCACACTGTGGGGATTCTATGATTGTCCTCACTTTATCTCCCAACTGGTGTAACCTGGTCTTGTCAATCTGTAGCCCACTAGGTCACTTGGTGCTTAGAGCACACATTTTTCCCTTCTAAGGTGTACGCCTGCCTGGGAGAAATGTCTAAGGACTATGTCCTTATTTGTCTTCCCTGTTATTAGCACGTCATTGAGATAAATGGCTACCTAGTGTACACCTTGTAAAATGTTCTCCATCATTTGTAAAAAATTGCATAGACTGACGAAACCCCAAATGGCAGTCTTGTATAATGGTACAAACCCTTATTGGTATTAATTGTAGCATACTTCTGGGAGTCTCCATCTAATCACAATTGCAAGTATGCATGGCTCAAGTCAAACATTGTGAAGGACAGACCCATCCCAGCTTTGTGCATAAATCCTCTATGCGAGGGCTAGAGTATTTATCCAGCTGTGAAAAGTAGTTTACCTTTTGTTTAAAGTCCCAACAAAGGTGAACCAACTTGTTGGGTTTCAAATCGGTACAATTGGCGCTACCCATTCCGCAAACTAAAATAGTTTGACGATTCCTTCATTTTCCACCCTTCTGATTTCTGCCTCAACTTTTGCAGCAGGGCAAGTGGCACTGGGTGGACCTTGCAGAATTGTGGAATTGCTTCCTGGACAACATGGAAGGTAGCCTTGGTTCCTTTGATAGTCTCTAGAGCTGCTGAAAAACCTCCATATATTTAATTAGGACTTCGCACAGGTAGCCATTTTCTAATTGAAAAATGTTGAGCCAATCTAGGTGAATCTTTCTCAATGAATTTCACCTCATCAAGCTTGAGCCTGAGCTTTTCACTACAATTAGTGACAATTGAACCAGTTGCTTCTCATAAGAGATTGGAACTGAATATGTACCCTTAATCTGTAAGGGTTCTCTGGTATAGGTTCTCAGTGTAACTGAGGACTTGCACAAACTTACAGGTTTCAGACCAGAGCGAATTTTGATAAAGACTGGTTCTACAATCACTGAAACGGCTGTGCTGGTATTGACCTCCATTAGAACCAGGCGACCATTTAACTGGATGTTTATTTTGGTTGGTTCTGATTTGAATGTTGCTCAGCAATCTAACTGTTTCAACCCAGATGTAGCTGGACTTTCCAGGGTGTGCACTGACCTAGATACTGGCCGATGAGTTCTCTTACTCCATTTAGGTCTAATGGGGGTCTTGCTGTCTCAACTCAGCATACCAGCAGCAACTACAATGGCTTGCCAGCCTGGATCCTGAAGAAAATGTTGACCTTTTGGCTGAGGCTTGGTTTTGTTTTGGGGTCTTGCTGTGGGCTGACCTAGAGTCTCTCTTTTCAGGATATGTCCTGAGTGATGCTTTGCAATTGCGTTCACTCAAGTGGTCTTCCCCAAGCTCAGTTGGACTGGCAAGGGTGTCCACTTCAATCGGAATGCTCTGTAATCATGCTCCACTTGCCACATTTTCCAATGATAAAGCCAGTTGCAGTGCCTGTTTGAATTCCAGTTGGTCTTCAATTGGTAGGTATTTTTGCATGGTTGCATCATTAATCCCACATACCAAATGGTCTCTTAGCATCTCATTAAGGATTAAACCAAAGTCACAATCCTCTGCTAATCATCTTAACCTAGTCAAAAATCCTGATGCAGATTCCCCTGGTTCTTGAATTGCCAAGTGAAACTGATAGCATTTCAGAATTGCTGAAGGCTTAGGGTCATAATATTCCTAAACTAAATCTATCAACTCTGAAAGGATTTCATATCTGGTGACTTTTAGGCTCCTAATAACTGAAAAATCTGCGGGTCCATGAGTTGTCAGGAGAATTACTCTATTCTGAGGAAGGGTCACTCGACTTGAAATGTTAACTCTGATTTCTGTCCACAGATGGTGCCAGACCTGCTGAGCTTTTCCGATAATTTCTATTTTTGTCTCTGATTGCAGTTCTTTCGGTTTTTATTCGGAATTACTCGTTGCTTTTTGTCTGCCACAATGTCATTTGCCTGGAAAGTACAAAGCATTCTTTCCACATACTGTGGGCCCAGTCTACAATGCCAGGATTGAATGAGTCAAGCTTCTCAAATAAAGGCATGATCCCAGAAATGCTTACCCCAACTCAAAGATGATTGTTGCAAGAGACTTTCTTCAAGACTGTGCTTTCCTGGCATTGCCACTAAAATAACTCTGCAGAGGCCAGTATCCCATCACCATGTCACCCTTTATTTACATGTGGAGTGTCCTTGACACTGATCCAGTTCCGTTAGAACTAGCTCTCAAAGTGAACAGGATGTCTGACACTCCTGTTCTAATCTGTCAGTCAGGATTCCATGATTGAAACAAATTAACAGCCCCAGTCAGGGAACTCATATTCAATGACGACCACCTGGCTGACCTTGTTACAATCACTACACATGCCAAATGCTACCCCTCCCTACTGTTAATGGTAGGGCCTTTGGCAGTGTTGTCGAACAGAGAGAATTAAATGTGCAGGTGTGTGGTTCCTTGAAAGTCACATCAAAGGTAGACAAGGTGGTGAAGAAGCATTTGGCACGCCTGGCTTGAGTACAGGAGTTGGGATATCATGTTATGGCTGCAAAAGACATTGATTGGTAAGCCCATATTTGGATTACTGCTTATAATTCTTGGCACCCTGCTATAGGAAGGATATTATTAAACTAGAGCGGGTGCAAGAAGGTTTACAAGGATGTTACCAAGACTGGAGGGTTTGAGTAATAAGGAGAGATTGGATAGGCTGGGCCTTTTTTCGCTTTATAGAGGTTTAAGGATCATGAGGGGCATAACCAAAGTCTTTTCTCCAGGTTACACGAGTCCAAATCTAGAGGGCATAGGTGAGAGGGAAAAGATTTGAAAGCGACCTGAGGGGTAACTTTTTCACATGGAGGGTGGAATGAGCTGTCAGAGGAAGTATTAGAGGTGAGAACAATTGCAACATTTGAAAGACATTTGAACAGGTATATGGAAAGGAAAAGTTTAGCGGGATATGGGCCAAATGTAGGCAAGTGGGATTAGTTCAGCATGGACGAGTTTGGCCAAAGGGTCTGTTTCTGTGCTGTGTGACTCTATACCTCTTCACCACCCTCCTCCTTAACATCTAACTTCCTTACCAGCTTTTTGACACACTCCTTGTTGTCAGTTTTTGACTACTTATGCACATCTGCAGCACCTGGGACATTTTTCTATTTTGCATGCACCATATAATTGTAAGTTGTTATTGATTTTCCTCCTCAGTTTGGATATGCACTGAAGCTGGATACCTCTGAGTTTACTCACACTCATTCCTGGTCAGAAGAAAATGAACATTTGAGTGCACTGGGATTAATTTGGGTGGAATGTATTTCCAACGTTCCCCACTTACTTTGTGCTTTGATGGGGACTACAGACGAAAATCATTCCTATCGCCTTTAGGATCTAATCCTATGTTATAGAAAAATGATGAAACTTAACTGAATATAGTATAAATTGTTCTATTCTTCTGTACATCATCACCTTGAACTGAATTGTTATTAGTCTTAAATTGGCATCAAGGGTACAATTTAATTTTTCTGGATATAGAATTGATTTTGAGCTCATATCAATGTTATTATTGTTTAGGAAAATAGGGAGAGCGAAATTCAAATTTCTGGTAGTATATCAGAAGAAAAGGCCAAATTTGAGTTGTTTCTAACTGAACATGTAATCGAAAGGATACCTGCTGAATATCAGAATCATCAATTACAGAGAGAAAAGATGAAAAACCTTTTCATTCCTAATACATTACCAGGTACTTCAAAAAGTTTAGAAATGCTCAATATGCCTTTCAGCATCTGTGGATAAATAGAGTTAGAATGAACTGTATTTTCCCCTCCACAGATGCTACCAGACCTGTTGACTATTTCTGGCATCTGCAGCATTTTTCTTCTACGTAAAAAGAATTGTTTGTTGTTTACAGTATTATCATCATGATAGACAGTGGATAGTGTTTTATAACGTTATGCTATTTTACTATGAAAACAACCAGTACTTTGCTTTCATGAAATTGGTGTACTTTGAGAAATTGCAAAGTAGATTAAGTTTGCACTGTATTTTTCAGTTGCTGTAAATAGTAAACTTCCAAGAAACATTGAACCTCGTGTTTTGGAGGAAGAAGGATTTTATGTCAGTAAAAAACCACATGTGTCGGAAAAAAATATCAACAAAATGGAGAATCGCTTTCTTGTGCAAGAACAGGTGACTTCATAAATATATTGTCATGATCTATTTTTGAAAATTGATTATGAAAAAAAATCCTTGAGAAGCTGCCAGATTGAACTGCAGTGAATATCCTTCACAGCAAGGAAAAACTGTTAAACAAATCACTGCTTTAGGTTACTGTTTCACAAGAACTTGTGACTGATTAGGAGAAAAGTGCTGGCAGTGTCTGGGAAAGTGGAATGGATTAAGGCATTCAATTTCTTGAGCCTGTTAAGTGTTCAGTTACATCTGGCTGAATCATGCATTTTTTGGGCTAGGTTTCAGTTGCATAGAGCTTTTATGGAGGGATTTCTGCAATGGTGGTGGAGGTATTGGATACTTATGGATGCCATACCAATCAAGGAGGCTGTTTTGTCTTGAATGGTGTCAAATATCTTGGGTGTTGTTGGAGTTGTACTCATCCAGGCAAGTGAGGAGAATTCCATTACATTCCTGACTTGAGCCTTATAGATGATGGACAGGCTCTGGGGAGTCAGGAGGTTGTTACTTGCCACAGTATTCCTGGCCTCTGACCTGCTCTTCTAGCCACAGTGTTTATGTGGTGAGTCCTGTTGAGTTTTTGGTCAATGGTTACCCCCAAGATGTTAACAGTGGGGGTGACAATGATGGTAGCATCATTGAATGTCATGGGGAAGTGGTTAGATCATCTCCTATTGGAAATGATTTTTGCCTGGCATTTGTGTGGCACAAATGTTTACTTGCCACTTGTCAGCCCAAACCTGGATATTGCCCAGATCTTGTTGTATGTGAATGTGGACTGTTGCTGTATCTGAGTAGTCGAGATTGGTGCTGAACATTGTGCAATCATTCCCACTTCAGGTCAGGTCATTGATGAAGCAGCTGAAGATGGTTGGGTCTAGGACACTGCCCTGAGGGACTCCTCCAGAGATGTCCTGGAGCTGAGATGATTGACCTCCAACAATGCAACCACCTTACAATGTGCCAGATATGACTTCAACCAAGAAAGGGTTTGTCCTGATATCCATTAATTCCAGTTTGCTAGGGGTCCTTGATGCCACACTGGGTTGAATGTGGACTTGATATCAAGGGCTGTCGCTCTTACCTAACCTCTTTTGTCCATGTTTGAAACAAGGTATGACCTCACCGTAATGAGGTCAGGAGCTGAGAGGTGCTGGCAGAACCCAAACTGGGCATCATTGAGCAGGTGCTGCTTGATAGGACCTGACCAGCATGATCAGTAGTGCTGCTGTTGAGCCACTCTTGGTGTATTTTTGTATACCTGTGACAATAAATCTAAATCTAAATGCAAATCCAGATTTCCACCAAGATAAAAAGGTATCTCCAAAGTAATTTATGTTTATTTGATACACTCATTCCTTGTTATCCATTGTTTAGCTATGCGTGGATCTGTGTATTCGTGAGGTTGGTGCCAGACCCCTTTTTTTTCCCTGTTGACTCATCTGGTCCATTCATGTGGTCCTTTGTGGTACATAGGAGAGTTTCTTTAGAGTGCTAAATGTTATGTTATTTCTGTGAAGTCCACACCTCTTTCTTCCACAAATTATGACATGCCCATCTAAATGTAATTTAGATGTCCATCTAAATGTTCTGGAGTGCTCAAAAGCCTATCAACATATTTTAGTTAAGAAGACTATTTGTTAATGTGTTATTTCACAGTAATTGCTGGTGTGTGTCCTACAAAAGCAAAAAGCAAAAAGATTACAAGTTGCTCAAATATAAATATCTATGCAGAGCCTATGTAAAAAAATGGTGCATACAGATAACCAGTATTTTAAAACTGAAGTAACTGGATACAGGTATAGAATGCAACATAATACAATCAATCAATACTTCTAAAAATTCAAAATATCTACAAGGTGACCTTATTAGAAAAGTAACTGTTTCTCCTTTATGGACTTTACGTTAGGTACAAAGCTAAACCAATTTAGGACATAGAACTGTCGGGCTTCAAACTAAGTGGTTTCACTTCAAAGTAGCTTACACTTGATGTTAACCACAAAGGTGTATCTGTTCTACCACTATGTTTATGTTAGCCTGGGGCAAAAGCAATAATAAAACTATAAACTTAACTTTACTTTTGACCAAAAACATATTGCAATTGTCACTTACGACAGAAAGTCTAGCCACAGACAAAGACTCACACTAAGTCTTAATTGACTACAATCAAAAAGAAAATAATGGAAGTAATTTTCCTGCTCCCAAGCAATGTGGGCGTTAATGAGAAAGTTTGTAAAAATGTGTGATATTACACAATGTGGAGCTGGAGGAACACAGCAGGCCAGGCAGCATCAGAGGAGCATGAAAGTCGATGTTTTGGGTTGGGATCCTTCTTCAGAACTTTCTGAAAAAGGGTCCTGACCCGAAAAGTCAACTTTCCTGCTCCTCTGATGCTGCCTGGCCTACTGTGTTCCTCCAGCTCCACACTGTATTATCTCTGACTCTAGCGTCTGCAGTTCTTACTATCTCTAAGTGAAAAATGTGAGAGATGGCCAGCAAGCAATATCTAAATGTTGAGATGAAATTGTCCCATTTTCTAGCCAAATGTTGAATGGTGAGATAGTATTCTTGCCAGTGAATGGCTAGGGGCCTATTTGCATATATTAGCATGCATTAACATCTTGCTATTACCTAATCTTCCTTCATTAATATGCACTCTTTGATTCTCCCACTGACTGGATAGAAACTAGGTAGCGACAATTCTCGGCATGGAAGTCAGAGTTGTTACCTGGTGAGTAGAGCTTGCCACTTGTTCCTTAGGACTTCCACCATGGACAACAGGTACTAATGTCTCAGGGCACAATGCATGGGGATTGGTGCCAGAATCTGATATCCATGGATGCTAGCATCTGAGACATAAAAACCACACCACTGGCAAGGTGGTTCTTCATTTTGGTGCTATATTTTGGAACTCACTGGCACCGTTCATTGCATTGCTGCTGCCAGGCCACTTTGAGCACATGGATAGGCACTCATCTTATGGATTCGCCTGGGGTGCATCTTGGGGCAATTTGCTTGCTCTCTTGGTGCTCATTCATTTTTTGCTTACTCGGATATTCACAACATCCCTGTCTTGCCTTCTGATTCTTTTTCCTTTCAAGCAGATCTCCACAGTCCACACACAGCAGCAACTTCCAAAACCTGAAGTCAATGCTGGGAACAGTGTTGGCATTCCGATATGTGGACCCTCAGAGATGCGGCACAGCTTTATCTTACCTTGAATTTTTTGCTGTGTCCCCTCAGCCAGACCTTAAAGGCTCTCAGTACTGTCTTGTTGTTTAGCGCAGACACAAAGCTAGGCAGCTTGTCAAGGTTGCCAGGGGCCATCAGGGAAGGGTATGGGCATATTGTTGTATGGTGCCATGTTATACATGTGCGAACAGCGCACACTGATGTGCTTCAACCAAATTTCCAAGTCTTAAAGTCTAAGGGAGTAGTCTTCAGCCAAATCCAGGGTGGCTGCCCTCGGTCAGGGGGTCGTGGCACAGCCAAACAAGGGCATCATCTGAACTCAGGGGGCTTGGAAGTGAGTGAACCTTCTGGGCTGGTCAGAATCAGGAATTCAATTTCACTACAGTCTGGGAGTGGATTACAGTTAGTCTTGTATGTCTAATGCATACTGTCAGGAGATTCATGGTAAATCATTTGGGGAACAGCCTACAGAACAACCGGGGTTTGATCACTCATTAGTTGGGGGTGCCCATCCACATAGGTTGGGTGGAGAGAGTGATGCCAATCGTGGGGGTCAGTTCAATGAAATTGAAAAGGGATTATTGGAGATACTGCTGTTTTAGGGAAGTTGGGAATCTTAAATTGGTAGATTAAGGCAGCAAGCTGGGATGCATAGAGGACAAGAATTGTGATGAGGAAAAAATTGACAAAAGAACATAAGAACATAAAAACATAAGAAATAGGAGCAGGAGAAAACCATCTGGCTCCTCCAGCCTGCTCTGCCATTCAATAAGATTGTGCCTGATCTTATTGTGAATTCAGCTCCACTTATCTGCCTGCTTGCCATAACCCTTAATTCCTTTACTGTTCAAAAATCTATCCATCTTTGCCTTAAATACATTCAACGAGTTAGCCTCAACTGCTTCACTGGGCAGGGAATTCTACAGATTCACAACCCTTTGGAAGAAGAAGTTCCTCCTCAACTCAGTCCTGAGTCTGCTCCCCCTCATTGTGAGGCTATGCCCCCTAGTTCTAGTTTCATCTGTCAATGGAAATAGCCTCCCTGGCTTCTATTTAATCTTTCCCTTCATAATTTTAAAGGTGTAAGATGCCCCCCTCACTCTTCTAAATTCCAATAATTGTATTCCCAGTCTACTCAATTACTCCTCATAAGCAAACTCTCTCAACTCCAGAATCAACCCTAGTGAACTTCTTGTGCACCCCCTCCAGCGCCAGTACATTCTTTCTCAAGTAAGGAGATCAAAACTGTACACAGTACTCCAGGTGTGGCTTCAGCAACACCCTGTACAGTTGCAGCATAACCTCACTGTTTTGAAACTCCATCCCTCTAGCAATGAAGGACAATATTCCATTTGCCTTTTAATTACCTGCTGCACCTGCAAACTAACTTTTTGTAATTCATGCATAACGGCACCAGGTCCCTCTGCTTGGCAGCATGCTGCAATTTTTCGCCATTTAAATAATCGTCCATTTTGCTGTTATTCCTACCAAAATGGATGACTTCACATTTACCAACATTGTACTCCATCTGCCAGACCCTTGCCCACCTACTAAACCTATCTATATCCTTCTGTAGTCTTTCAATGTCCATTACACACTTTGCTCTGCCACTCATATTAGTGTCATCTGCAAACTTTGACACTCTACACTTGGTCCCCAATTCCAAATATAAATTGTAAACAATTGCAGCCCCAACACTAATCCCCGAGGCACACTACTAGAAACTGATCAGCAGAAAAATATCTCTACTCTTTGCTTTCTGTGAGTTAACCAATCCTCTATCCATGCTAATAAACTATCTGTAATGGCATGCACCTTTATCTTATACATCAGCCTTTTATGTGGCACCTTGTTGAATGCCTCCTGGAAAGCCAAATACACCACATTCACTGGTTCCCTGTTGTTCATCATGCTCGTGATACCCTCAAAGAATTCCAATAAATAAAACATGACCTTTCATGAACCTATGCTGTGTCTGCTGATGGGACAATTTCTATCCCAATTTCTCGTTATTTCCTTCTTAATGACAGATTCAAGTATTTTTTCCACTACAGAAGTTAAACTAATGGGCCAATGGTTACCCACCTTTTGTCTACCTCCATTTTTAAACAGTGGCATCACATTTGCTATTTTCAAATCTACAAGAACCTCGCTAGTGTCCAGTGAATTTTGGCAAATTACCACGAGTGCATCTGCTATTTCCCCTGCCTTCTCTTTTATTACACTGGGATGCAATCTGGCTTTCAATCTGGCTCCTAAATCCCTAAATACAGTCTTCAGGACCTCATCCTCTTCATACCTATGTTATTGGTACCAACATGTACCATGATCAATGGCTGGTTCCCTTCCCCCCACAAAATGCCCTGCAGCTGTTCAGTAGCCTGAAGGACCGTTGCACCAGAGAGGCAACACACCATCTTGTTGTCACTAGAATGGCTGTAGAAGTACCTTTATGTTCCCCTAACGATTGAACCTCCTATCACTACAGTTCTAACCACTTTTTTCTCCCCGCTCTGTGCAGCTGAGCATCCCACAGTGCTGCGGGTTTTGCCTTGGCTACAATTCCATGAGGCAGTATCACCATTGCCAGAACTCAACACAGAATACCAGTTGGTAATTGGGATTGCCTTGGGGACTCCCGCACTACCTGCCTCACCTTATGCTTGTGTGCAACAGTCACCCATTACCTATTCTCCTACACCCTTTTACACTGTGGGGTGACTACCACTTTGTACATGATATCCACATAACTCTCATTCTCCCAGATGTTACTTGCTGCCCACAGACATTGCTCAAGCTCCATAACCTGGCACTCAAGTTGGAGGTACTGACGGCACCTCCTGCACATGTGTTGTTCATCGATGCAATCAGTAACCAAGAACTCCCACATGTTACAGGTGGAACATATTGCTTGAAGGAGCTGGTCTGCCATCCCTTTAATTATCCCAAAAATTACCCACTAAAACAAAAACCAAATCTAATTCTCACATACACTAACAGTTAACTAGTAAGTATAATAATTTCAACAGGTTATTTGGTTACAGTAAGAAAATTAAAGAGTTATACTGATCCCTTATACAACCAATCACTTACCAGCTTGGCTGTGACGTCACTCTGGGATTTTGTGCACCCTCTCACCAGAAACGCTTTAGGTATGCCTTTCCAGTCATTGCTTGCACTCTTAATTCCAAATGGTGTTATTCCTCACTGGGGTAGTGTACTGAAAATCAAGTCATTCTATTCTTGGAGTTGTCACAAAATTTAAACTTTTTATCAAGTAGGCAAAATTTCCCAATTCACCTGTCTTTTACCTGGCTGACAGAAGGCACAGATCAGCTGTCTGTACTTAACAAGGATTACTATTTATTACAAATATATAGATTTTAGCTGCAGGAAAACAATTACAAACCATCAACATGTAACTCTACTGATAAAAACTCCAACCCCATTACAAACATTCCCCTCCCCCCCACCCCACCAATGCACACTTACAGACAGACACAAATAGACATTGTATTTTGGGTAGAGGGAAAATCTGGGGAAGCAGTTCAATGGCCTGCCCATAGGGTTTGCTGAGATGAGCCTTTTGCAAGTCAGAATTTGCTGTTCACGTGCCTTCTTAATTACCTTACCCATCTGCCCTGCCACCTGGGAGTTGTAGATATGTTCACCAAGGTCCTTCTGATATTTAGTACTTTCCAGATTTCTACCATTTATCATGTAATTCCTTGTTAGCCCTTCCCAAGTGCATTTTTCTGGTTTGAATTCATTTTCCGCTGCTCTGCCCACCTGACCAGTCTGTTGATATCCTCCTGAAGTTCATGACAATCTTCCTCATTAATTAACATCTCACGATTTTTGTGTCATCTTTGAATTCATACCCCTTACATTTGAGTCCAAATCATTAGTGTACACAACAAACAGAGTCCTAGCGCCAAGTCCTGCAGAACCCTATTGGAATCAAGCTTCCACTCCCTGAAACATCCCTATACTATTCCTGTCTGCTTTCTGCATCTCAGCTAATTTTGTATTCAATATGCCACTTTGCCCTGGATTCCACGGACTCTTAATTTTTTGACTAGTTTACTATAAAGAACCTTAACAAAAGCTTTGCTAGAGTTCATATTCCTCATCAAATGCATTACCCTTATCAACACTCCCACTAGCCTCCTCATAATATTTGATAGATTTCGTCAAACACATTCGTCAAACATAACCTTCCTAAGAAGTCCAGGCTGACTATCCCTGATTAATCTTTGTCTTTCTGTCCTTCAGAATCCTTCCTTATAACATCCCATCATAGACAGACTTTTTAAAAATTCATTCATGTGATGTGAGCTTCACTGTTTCAGCCAGCAGTAATTTACACTTCCAGTTGCCTTTGAAAAAGTGGTGGTGATCTGTCTTCTTGAACAAATGCAGCCCATTTGATGCAGGGAGACCTACAATTCCATTAGTGAGAGTGTTCCAGGATGTTTACCATGTGGCAAAAACAGCATAAATATTTTCCAGGTCAGGACATTAAATGACTTGGAGGGATACTTGCAGGTTTTGGTGTTCCCAACTAGCTGCTGCTCTTGTCCTTCTCTACAGTTGTGGTCATCGGTTTGGAAGATGCTGTCTAAAGAACCTATTGAATTTCTGAATTGCATCTTGTACATGGTACTTTCTGCTGCTACTGAGCATTGGGGGTGAAGGAGTGAATGTTTGTGAATGTGGTACCACTCAAGCAGCTGCTGTATCCTGGACGGTGCCAAATGTCTTGAGAGTGTTTTTGGAGCTGCACTTACCCAGACAAGAGGGGAATACTCCATTACATTCCTTGGAGATGGTGGACAGGCTTTGAGGAGTCAGAAGGTGAGTTCCTTGCTGAAGGATTCCTAGCCTCTGACCTGCACTTGTAGCCTCTATATTTCTTTGGCTAGTTCAGTTCATCTTCTGGTCATGATAACCTCCAGGATGTTGATAGTGAGGGATTCAGGGATAAGGATATCTTTGAGCGTGAAGGGGCTATAGTTAGGTTCTGTCTTGTTGGAGATGGTCATTACCTAGCACTTGTGTGGCATGAATGTTACTTGCCACTTGTCTACCTAAATCTTGTTATTGGCTAGGTCTTGCTTCATTTGGGCATGAGTTGCTTCATTATCTGAGAAGTCGCAAATATTGCTGAACATATGCAGTGAACATCCTCATTTCTGATCTGATGATGGAGGGAAGGTCATTGGTGAAGCAGCTGATGGTGAATGGGCCTAGGATAGTACCTTGACAAATTCGTATAATGATGTATCGGAGCTGAGTTGACTGATGCCCAACAACAATAACCATCTACCTGGTATGACACCAACCAAGGTGTCATCGGAGGCCTCACTGATGATGTCAACTAGCATGGTGACGAAACATCCGAACAAAAACAAGCCAGTTCGGTGACCAAGTCAACATCCTTACCCACAACCCGAACTACAGATTTTTGCTAAAACTTTAAACCTCAAATTAGTTATTTAAAAGTCTGCTTAGGAATGATTAGGGACAATTTTAAGCATCTTTGAAAGTTTTAATTTTACCGTGTTGTGAAAGGCTGATTTGGTTTGGCTGTCTGTTTCCACGTCTTAACATTTCATAGTGATGGGATTTGAGTATAGGAGCAAGGGATAACTTGCTGCAATTGTACATTGAGAGATCTTGGTGAGACCATACCTGGAGTCTAGTGTGCAGTTTTGGTCTCCTTACCCTATGAAGAATGTTCTGGCTGTTATGGGACTGCAACGAAGGTCTACCAGATTGGTTCCTGGAATAGCAGAACTGACATACGAAGAGGGATTAGATCAAATGGATAGTTTTCACTGAAGTTTAGAAAAATGAGGCAGGTTAGAAACCTATAAAGTTCTAACATAATTTTACAGGGTAAACACAGGATGCATGTTTCCCATGACTGGGGATTCTGGTACCAGGGATACAGGCTACAAGGGTGGGGCAAAGAAGTGGCAAATGGAGTACAACATGGGAAAGTGCATGATTATGCACTTTGGTGGGAAGAATAGGGGCGTAAACTATTTTCTAAATGGCAAAAGACTTCAGAAATCTAAAGCACAAAGGTACTTAGGAGTCCTACTTCAGGATTCTCTTAAGGCTAGCATGCAGGTTCAGTTGGCAGCTAGGAAAGTAAATACAATGTTAGCATTCATTTCAAGCTGCTAGAATACAAGAGCAGAGATATACTGTAGAGGCTGTATAAGGTTCTGGTCAGACTGCATTTGGAATATTGTAAGCAGTTTTGGCCACCATATATAAGGAAGGATGTGCTGACCTTGGAGGGGGTCTGGAAGGAATTTACAAGAATGATCATGGGGACGAAGGGCTCATCATATGAGGAGTGGTTGAGGACTCTGGGTCTGTACTCGATGGAGTTTAGAAGGATGATGGAGTATCTTATTGAAGCTTTCAAATTACAGAGACACCTGGGTAGAATTGACGTGGAGAAGATGTTTCCACTTGTAGGACTGGGACCCAAGGGCACAACTTCGGAGTGAAGAGATGACCCTTTAGAACTGAAATAAAGAGAAATTTCTTCAGCCAGAGTATGATGAATCTGTGGAACTCATTGCCACAGAAGGCTGTAGAATGGTGAGAAAGCAGGAGCAGGGCAGTGAGTTAGATGATCAGCCACAATCACATTGAATTGTGGAGCTGGCTCAACTGTCAAATGGCCGACTCCTGCTCCTATTTCCTATGCTTTTTATAATGAGTGATAAAGCGTAAGTAGGAATGATGTGTTACCATCTGCAAAATATATCTCACTAAAATCTTCTATCTGTTTATATTTCCTACTTGTACAACTCACTATCCCATTGTTAAATTTAGCATAGTTTTGTGACAACTAAGTCTCATAAATTTTACTACCTATTTATTTATGCCCTTTGACATTTTCACTCATTCTGCAAGCTGGCCATTAATGTCCAACAAATTGTTCAAAGTATTTTTGGAGGTTATTTTTTCATCATTTTAAAATCAATAACTGAAATGAATGTTTAAAATACTACGTATACTTTGATAGAGATTTTACTTAGCACGGTTACAGAAAATTACTCTTCATCATTATGGATTGTACAGAGTAATACTAAAATATTTTGCTTTATATCTGAAATGTTTTGAAAGAGGAAATACTGGTTTGGGGAAGATGGAAATATTATTGCATTAGCAGATCCAATTAAGTTATCCTGGAAGTGTAGACTGCCATCACCAGATGATGTAGAGGATCCTGAAACAAGTCTGAAGACTGTCTATAAGAAGGTATGGGACCATTTCCTTCTCTAGTGTTACTGATGTGATTTTACAAACTGTGAAAGGATAGTTAATAGTACTTTTAAATTGAATTTTAAAAGTAGTATTTACAGAGAGCAGAAACCCTTGTATAAACCAAAATGTGTTATTTGAAGTAATATGGTGAGATTAAGGGAATATTTGTTTGTAATTATTAAAAATATGTTTACTCTATTTTCAAGAAATGCATGTATGGAGCTAGTATGCTTTGAAGTGTACGCCCAAACATGTGCTATGAAGTTATTAATCACAGTTTACATTTATATGTATCTTCTGAAACCACTGTATGATTAAATGTTTACATTTTCATTTTGTGAAGTTATCATATGTTCATATACACAATCAACACATGGAAAATTTACATTCCTGTACATTTATAGTGAGAGTATGAATACTGATTGCCTGGTGCTTTAAGGTGGGACCTATCTTCATATCAATCTGCTTGTAATGTGATCATGCTAGTTATGTGTTCAAGCAGTTTTTTTTGGCAGCAGGATTTTAGCAGTAAGCTTGTAGCTGATTCTAGTCAGTGTCTATTTGGAAATGTGGGATTGTTTCAGGAATATGTAATTAATGTTGGCGTAAGGGCTTAAGAGGAACATGTGTAGTAACAAAATTCAGCAGATCTATGCTGTTACAGTGCCATTGAATAGTTCTGGATCATTGTTCTGCTGATAATTTCTTCCACTGAAGAAACAAAGGCATGGTTTAGGTCTCTACCCATCATTACTTTGTCCCCCACACGTGGGATGAGCACAGGGTAAGTTAATTGTAGAAATTCAGATAAGTTCTCATTTGAGCCATACACGTTAAAAGTAATCATGGATTTTTTTCACTAATAGCCCATTCAGTAATGGAGAGACCATCTTTTTCAAAGATTCCTGCTTCCAGAATAAAGGAAGGTACTGCTTTGTACCTTGGCTTGACTGGCCAGGTAACTGTGAGATACACAAATTCTGGTTTGTGCAATGCTCTTCAGGCCTGGGCATATGTCTAGCTCTGACAACAGTACTACCAATTGACATAAGCTAAGATCTCGTGGACTTTTTGAATACATACACTATCACCATTTTAATTTCTTTCTGCCCAATAAAACTATTCACTAATATGATAACTGCACATTATCATTTTGTGTTCTTATGTTTTTATAGGCCATAGTGAGTGAACTGGCAAAAGATATTGACAGTCATTTTGGGGAGCTTTCTCAAATCTACCAACTGGATATAAATATTGCAAATTTGCATTTTCTTCACCACCCTTTGTTTAGCAAAGAACATGTTTTGGCAGTGAAGCTTATGCAGCTTTTTGACAATTACCGACAAAGGCAAAAGCAAAATGTCAGCCAGCTCCTAGCAGAAAAAGTGAGTGATAATATTATGCAACTAATAAGAGCTATCTAATTTTTTTTGCAGAGTATCATTGAAAATAAGCCTAGGAAGGACTGCAACCTAATATGTTATAATGAAGCAAATGTTCAAAAAAAAAATTACAGTTGTATTTTCGGCTTTGTGATTCTAAGAGGCTGCATTTGCTATTCATATTGCTACATTTTTCTTGCATTGGAACGATAGCAACTCAGTTGGCTCAACAGTGTTCTTGAAAGCTGGTTATTTTCCAAATTAGGCACAAACAACCAGTTTGGATACACCTGAAAGTAATTGATTTACTGAAAATCATTCTGAAAAGTTTATAAGCACTTTTGAGAATGCAAAATTAATTCAGGTACTATGTACATCAATTGTAGAATTGATTGAAGGATCAAGGCACAGAAAGATCCAATCAATGGAAACAATCTTTTGTTGGTGATAGCGTGACTGAAACTAGCTGTATAGCTTTGAAAAGCTACCAACGGTAGGGGGAAATGAGAGCAGGAGCAAAATGTAGAAGATCATTGGGTGTATGAGATTGTCTTCTATCAACAAGAATGTCTCATTACCATTTTACTTACACGTTTCCTGCGCCTATTTTCCATAAGGGGGCATGATTTATTCCTGTAAGACATGATTTCATTTTGCGTATTTAAGGGACAATGCACAGTTGAACTTTGGTAGAGTTCAGAGTTTTGCAGAAGTGAAAATATTTTGAGATGGTGTCAGATGATCAAAGGTGTGTTCTAGTTTAAAGAGGCTTTTTTGAGGTACAGCTAGGTGCAGTAGGGGCCAAGAGGAGTTCCTATTCTCTAGTAATGACAAGAAAAAAGCTGTTGCCTTGAAGAAAGTGGAGCTAGAGATGAGCTGAAGAAATGTAGTGTTTTTTTTAACCTGGATTTACATGACATGACATGACATGATATCACTCCTCGCACCGACATAAATTCCAGCAACTCTCATTGTTCCATTTCAGTGCACTTTCTAACTTCCCCTTTTTCCATTTCCCACTGCTATAGACCTTAATCTATATCAAATTTGATACCATCTTGTGAGGTTGTACTATCAACATATTCTCAAATATTAGCCCGTGTCACTCACCATGCATCTGCTGGTAGTTACCCTCATTACTGCACAACACCAAATACACATGTATCTTACATACATTCAAAGGATTGTTGGATCAACTTTCAGGAGACAATGACATAAAATCAGGGAATGCAAGAGAACTGGCAAGATAAAAGGATTGGGGATGAAGGCAAAGGTAGCCATGGCAAATCCTTCAATTAACATCTGCAAAGCAGAGACCAATGAGACAAGTGGGCTATCATGTATACCAGAGCATTGGGTGGGTGGGGGGGGGCTCGGATTTCCTGCCTCATGATGACATTAAATATCTGCAAATTTGATCTCATACAAGATTAAGTCATGTTAATGATTTTAGCACTGCATGAAATATTTTTATGTTTCCATTTGTGACAAAATGATATCCATCTTTTCTCTAGGGCCATTACAACACACTGTGTCCTTTGCAAATAATGTTTCCTCAGAGGTGCTGATTCCTCTGTGGGTGCACCACCACAGGGCACATACTTACCAGATAAGACAGAAATATCATCACCTTAGTGCATTCTGTTAGTTAAGTGGTTAATTGTAATTCATAAATGCACCTGAGCAGTGATCTCATGAACAGCAGTAAAAAGTCTGCATCAGAGGGCACAGTCCAAGCTCTGCTCAATTGCATAGAAATACTAAACCTGGGATGGGGATAGGGGTATGTGGGGATCAGGTTGTGTATAGCTAGTGGTGTGCAAAGCATGCTGTGGTGCCGGGAGCAATCAATGAAAAGAAAAAGAAATAAGGCTCAGCAGCAAATTTGAGAATTACTGGAAATAGTGTCCTTAATGTCTAGGATCTGTGGATTGGTTTTCACAGGTCTTGGAGAGAATGTCTTCCATTGATAAATGTTTTCTTCTATGGAACTTGAATGAGAGAGAAGCAATCAATTTGTGTACACCCAGGCGACATCTGTAAAAATAATGGATACCTATTTTTCTGCAGTATTAAACATCATGACAGCTAGAATTACTCTGATCTTGCAAAGCATTACTGATCTGTTGTGTAGAAGGAGGATATGTAGGTATCGAATGTACTGCAAATAAACAGGCCTATCAGCCAAACCAGTCATTGTTAAAATTTATGCTTCACTTGAATCTCCTTCTATCTCATCATCTAAATCTTTAATTGTAACCTTCAATTCCCTCTCCCTTATATGATTGTCTGGTTTGTCCTTAAAATGCATCCATAGTTCCCTTTAACCACACCCTGTTGAAGCAAAACTCCCATTCTTTACCCAAAGATTGGTGAGAAGTTACTCCTAAATTTCTTTTTCGGTAGCTTGATAATTGTCTAATAATTATGAACTCAATGTTTTTATTCTTCACAAGAGGAAACATTTTGATTTCACTCTATCAAAATGTTTGAAAATTTTAGAGACTGCTTTTGGGTCTCGCATCAGCTGTTCTCATAAGTAAAGGGATCCAGCCTGTGCATCCTTTCATGGTATTTATTCTTCTGCATTTCTTCTATCATCCTGATATATCTTCCCTCTACTGTCTCCAGTGCCTTTACATCCTTTAAAAACTATAACAATGGGAAACACATACATACTGTACCTATGGTCTAAATGAAATTCAGTATATGTTCAGCATATGTTTCCTTTGATCTTCTGTACATCCTAATGTCCTACTGTTCATCATGTCCTTCCTTACTTTGTTAGTCCTCCCAAAGTGTAACACCTCACACTTTTCCACATTAAATTCTGTTTACCATTGTTCTGCCCATCTGATTATCCCATCGTTTTCGTCCTTGCTATTTACCACACAACCGATTTTCGTGTCGTTTGTGCACAATTTCCTACAGTTATGTCTAGATCATTATGTAGACTGCAAACTACTTTCCGAGCACTGGATCCTGCAGCATACATTGGACATAGGCCTCCTGGCACAAATTAAATCTTTGACCATCACCCTCTGCCTCCTGCTACCAAGCTAATTTTGCATCCAGTATGTCAAATTGCTTTGTAACTCATGAGCACTTATCTACTTAACTAGCCTCCCATGTAACAGCTTTCAAAAGCCTTACTGAAGTCCATGCGGACAATATCAACTGCACTACACTTATCTATATATCTGGTAATCTCTGCAAAAAGCTCAATCAATCCTGTCAGACATGATTTGCCCTGATAAAACCATGCTGATTATACTTGATTAATCCTTGCCTCCTTAATTGGAGATTAATTCTGTGCTTCAAATTAACTTTCCAAAGTTTCCCTATTGCTGATGCCAGGGTGTACGCAGATTGATTGCTTCATTCTGATTCAAGTTCCACAGAAGAAAACATTTTTCAATGGAAGACATCCTCTCAAAGACCTGTGAAAACCAATCCACAGATCCTAGCTTGTAGTTACTGGGGTTACCCCTACCACCCTCCTTGAATAATAGTACCACATTAGTTGTCCTCCAGGGTGAGAGAGGTTTTGAAAATTAATGTTAGAGTCCATGAAATTTCCTGTCACCTCCCAAAGCAGTCTGGCATATATCTCATCTGAGTCAGGTTATTTATCCAATTTTAAGCTAGCTGAAACTGTTAATACTTCCTCGATCTCAATTGTCATTTGCACACCACAGTCCTCCACCATTATTTTCTATACCTACATAATCTTTCCCTATAATGAATTCAGATGTAAAGTACTCAATTACGTCTTCTAGCTTCACACACAGTTTACACCAATTTGGTCTCCAATGGGCCCTACTCTTTCCTTGGTTAGCCCTCTTCCCTTAATGTATTTATAAAATGCTTTTGGATTTTCCTTTATTGTTTTATTTATAGTGGGTTTTTTTGGTGCCTCTTCGCTTTCCTAATTTTTAAAAAAATCATCCCCTGTGTGTTCCATACTACTCTAAAGTTTCTGTTGTTTTGAGCCCGTAGTATCTGGTATAAATTTTCTTCTTTTCTAATCTAATCTAATCATCTATAACATTCAGGGTTCCTTGGACTTGCCAATCCCTCACTTCACCTTTACAGGAACATATTGGCCCACACTCTCACTAATTATTTTTGAATGCTCTGTTGTAGAATTTCCTATAAGTAACTGTTGTAGTCCACTTTGGCCACATCCTATCTTATCATGTTAAAATCAGCCTTCCACCAATTCAGAACCTTTACATCAAGTCCATCTTTATTTTTACCTTAAATCTTACTGAGTTTTGATTATTACCACCAAAATTCTATCCCCATATTTCTACCACTTGCTTCATTTCGTAAATTTATGTCCAATATTGCCCAACCTCTTGGAGGATTTACAACATACTGGCTTAAAAAGCTCTCCTGGATACAATGTAAGAATTCTCCCACTCTTTGTCTACCCAACTGATATTGGGGAATTGAATCCCTCTTATTACCCCATTATTTTTACACAGGTTTAATCAAGGTATTTAAGAGGGAATTAGATTGCTATTTGAAAATCTGAAGATTGTGCAGAGCTTAATGGAGAAGGTGAGAGAGTGGGACTATGTGACTATGTAATTTGCTCCTACAGAGTGCTGGCAAGAAATGGTGGACTGAACGACCTACTTTTGTGCTGTAATAATTATGTGACTGCAAGAGAAATGATTGGACAGAAGTGTTTCCATAACTGCTAAGTCAGCAAATTTAAAACATGGGAAATAAATAAGAAACAGAACAATGTAAAAGCTATCATATTTTAATTTAGAGAAGGTTTTGTTCATGTAACTGTTTTTTCATAGCTTCACACAATAAATAATGCAATCAAAAATGTAGAAAGACACTTGGAGACAAATTCTATAAATCTCAATAGAATCGAAGACTTAAAGAAGCAAATGGGGTATGTATCCTTTCTTTCTCCTACTGATGCTTTCTTAACAAGATTTTATTTCAATTGTTAACTTTTTCTGCTTTTATTATCCTTCATCGGCTACAGATATATTCATAACATTTATGAAGCATGGTCAATATTTCTGAAAATGATCATAATAATCTTTAAATTATTCGGATAATTTATATCAAACTCTAATATATTTGTGAAAACAGACATCTTCAATGTAATATATTAAATTGAATTCTGTGAGGTATTCTGCTTTTTCCTGTGGCTCAGTACCATGTTTTCAACCATATTCATGACTATTTTCATGACCCAGCTATATTGTTTTATGATGGATTGATGGCTGTTACCTGCTTTTCTTGGGTCACCAAGACTTTATGCTGCAATTCCTGTTTCCTACCTTAGTGAAACTATGTGCAGAAGTCATGATGCCAGCATGTGGCAGAAGGATCACTTCTGGATAGAAATGACAGCTGGTGTTGGAGAATTAGAAGGCACAAAAGAAGAATGTTTAGAAGCTTGCATCTATGGCTAATCTTTTAGTTCTAGTTACCTGTTAAATTTATTTTTCAGACTTTATTTATCTACTTTACTTTGAAAAAAAAAGGATTCTGCTTCCTTTAATTTCATAGTCTAATTACACCATCCATGAAAAACTCCTAATTTATTTTAGTTTGGTTATCTTATATTTTTGTCCAGGAGGTGCTGTCTCATTGGAACCTTCATAGTTTTAACAATTCTTGGATACTGTCAGCTTCTATTGTCCTAGTCGTGATTTTCCATCCTCTGCATGTCCATTTGACATGGAGAAAAATGGTATTGCCCTGCAGGTGAGCTACATCAGAGGTCTCACAATTTGCCATGAGGCCGAGTTACAAGACCCACTTATTCCAGAAGTTTGATTTTCTAAATCACTCTTGTGATGTGTGCATTGCAGGTTTGGGCAGCATTTGTGGCCCATCCCTAATTACTCTTGAGAATGTGTACTGAGCTACCTTCTTGAACCACTGCAATCCATGTGCTCTTGATACACCATCAATGCCGTTAGGGACGCAATTCCAGGATTTTGAACAGGTTGAATAGAAAATATCTGTACTCACAGTTTGAAGGCTCTTGTGGTGCAGTGGTAGTGTCCATATCTCTGAACCAGGAGGCCCAAGTCCAAGTCCCACCAGCTCCAGGTGTGTATAATAACATGTCTGAACAGGTTGATTAGAAAATATCTGTACTCAAGTAATTTGGCTCTGATGATACTTGAAAACATACTTAGTTGAGTTGTCAGGCTTTGTCGTTCCAATATAGTGGTGCTGCCCCTATAATCAAGTCCAGATTAGCACACTAAGAACTTTGGTCCCTATTGTTATTCAATTACATAGTTTTAATTTATCTATTTCAAAGAGAGAAAATATGCAGGGACAATTGTGTAAA